TGTGAGATTATCGCCGTTACATCCAAAATTCACGCAAATAGAATTGAATATTATACACATACAAAATATAAGAATTATAGATACACACACAAATATAAATTACAATGTATATAAGAATTAGACTTTTTACACTTTGATTTTCCTTACAATACTATACGTTACAAACGAAATAAATTGCAATTAAATTTTACGCGTTATATCTCGCACATTTCGTTTACTTACCAAAATTCTCCTTCAGCCATATTTCTCACGGCTAACCGTTCCCTTTCCATTGCGGGCACTTCGTCCCACTCAAGGCCACCTCTCGCCCAAGCACCCACATATTCCCCACCAGGTCCAAGAGGATTTCTTAATTTTACTAATTGCACGGCTTCACCTCCAAAAGTTTCTACCTACAGCAGCAAGTTTTATCGAGTTATTTTTTCTCACACTTTCGCTACTTGTTCTCGAATTCTTTTGTCGAATCATTTTTTGCACACGTAAAGACACGAAACACGAATATTACTGATATACCAACCCTTTCAATCGCGTACAGTCTGTAATTGATTCCCATTTGTATGCCATTAGCGAGTTTCTCTGTGCTGGCACGTATCTACAATAAAAACACGCACATGTGAACGAAACGTTCGAAAGAACTATGTTGTATTCGATTCTGTGAAAGGCTTTCTACCTGTTGCTGTTGATTATTGTTTACTGTACAAGTGATGAGAGACGTCATGTCCAAAAGCTTCGACAGCGCTCGTCCGCACGCTGTGGGATCCTGACGAATGGCGATGCTTTCGGTAATGCCGCCCGTGAGATCGGATAAGCCATCTAGTAATGTGCCGTACTTAAGTGCCTCGTAAGAACCGTGAAGTCTGAAAATAATTACACGAGAAAATTATTTTATCAACGCCGATAATCACCGCAAATCAATAGTTTTTAATGTGAACCAACAGAAAAGACTTAAAAAATAATATCTATAATTGCTCTATTTTTCTACAAACGGCATTTAATTAACTTGGAAGTTCGTAGTTAATTAAACGCCGTAAAACTTAATGTTAATACAACGTAAAGAGTTTTCGTTTTAATCGGCACTTAATCTTCCAACCTCGTCTTAGTGTTTGCTACTCACATTAGACCACCTAAGACGCGTAACGTAATAAATGATTTGACGCGTAAATAAACTTAAAGAAAAATAATTGTCGATTCCTAGTTAACGAACGACGTGCATTAATCATAATAAAATTGCCATCGCTCATCAGCTATGTGTTTATCACGACGGTGAGATCGATCGGTGTTTTCTCACACAACGCACGGAGAAAACGCAATGTGGACTTTCTTAATCGCTGGGCACTTGGTCGGATGAGGGAAAGCGGATGGGTAGGATTTTTTTTTCATCCACGACCTTTCTAAGCACTGACACTGTGCAATGTACCATACGCGCTATTACGAACAACGCGGATACCGTTGTAACTTTCATCGAATCAATTCAGAATGTCTAAAGACGGCAATATCGCGATTATCGACTTCCACTCTGAGAGATATCGTCGATCGAACATTCAATCCCGTATAAAGAAATAATTAATGTAAGGTAATCTTCGTATTTCTGTATTATGAGCATTTCTTGTAAATTTGTACAACAGTAAAATAACTGAATTTAATATTTAGTAGCACAACAACGTGATATATTAGATTCATCTCAGAAAAAGAAAGTTTTTATTACACTAACATTTTTCAATCGTTCTTTCAGCATTTATGGCAAATTTAAATTATAATTTATTAGCTACATGCCAAACAAGCAAGCGTACGCCTCATGAATAGTCGAGAAATCTCGTGAAATCATTCCGAAATACGTTTCGTACATATAAAATATGATTTATATGACTGAAGTATCCGGGAACAACAATTTATCAAGTTGAAATGTATTTATTTTTCAATGTAGTCGCCTTTTACCAAGCTATTTTTTCAGAGGTAGATACATTTGAAACCAAAGCGTGCGAGCACTCGGAAAGCGCATCATGCGAAATTCGAAAAGAAAACATAACTTTATTATCGTTATCTCTCAACGATAACGAAGTTCTAGTCCGATGGAAAATGTGATATTTTACACGAGTTCTTGACCTGTACAATGCGCGGGTAAAAAAAAAAAATGATCGCAGAAGAGTAGGAAGAAGGTCACAAAGATTCTCGACGGAGGGAGAGTCAAGGGAGTAGACGATGTTATCTTCCTCGCATGTGCCGTTCCTGCGGGAATTAGCATTCCTGAGATAACGGGTCTTGCTCCGTTCCAGGCGTCGTCGACGCCTTTTCTTTATTATCGCGCGCGCAGTTCGCGCGCGTTCAGGCCAATCTGGAAACCGTAACCATTCACACGCACGGTCGCGGGTATTACTTGGGTATTTTCTCAAGGAAAATGTGTACGTAACGCCCGGGGAAAAAGTTTCAAGCAAGTGGATCGGAGCAGCTTGTTGCTCTTCTCTTTTTGTTAGACTGCGTGCCAAGTTTATTATTCACGTGATTAATCATCATGTACTGTGGCGGGATTCAGAGGAAATTATTATGAAATTCTCTCTGTCTCTCTCAATCGCAATTGTGTGAAACAATTAATTGTTGCTCTTTCAGCAAAAATAATGGTATAATTGATAAATAATAAGTGACTTTGATATTTTGGCTCGTTTAATGTTTGCTCTTGATTTATGAAAGTGATACAATTAACATTAATTACCTCTATTTGCATTTATACATTTGAGATTACAACGAGATACATACGAGATGTCGAATTTATTTGAAAAAATTCTTCGAAATGAATAAATTGAGAATCACTGATCTTGAGCAATAGCACCTTTTCTATTTGATAGCAATCTCGAGTGTATCGTCGTAAGAAATGCTAATTGCCGCTTAACAAGCCTGAAATGTTCACCGTTGGTGAACGTCGGTAACGTGGGGAGCCGTCACGGAGATTTTCACGAAGAGGTCACTTCAGCGTTTGGCCAGAGGTGCTAGAAACGCGGTGTCTATGTAACATCTTTGTTGTCACTTTGTGACTCAACAGTTAGCAGCGTGCATTGCCCGTTGCACTTCCGTTTCACGTTTGCCTAACGGAGCGAGGCGGTCGCACGCGTACGCGCAACGTCATTGTCACGTTGCCTCGCTCCATTACCAATCATCTACGTCGTCATCGCCGATCGTCTTCCGCTATTATTACATACTTGTTACATCCCACTCGCAGTAGTGTCCTCGAGATCATTGCGTGACGTGATGATGATGTGTAATCGCAAATCGCTTTTCTCTTTCTTCAAACAAAATCGTGAAGTGCATTACTTGCGCAATTCTCCACACGTTATTTATATTACATATGAAAGGTGTTTTTTTTTTGTAAATAAAAAGTGGCAAAATTGTCTATATTAAAGAGAAAGCGACATATGCCGACCAGTCGCTCCTGAATATCGCTAATCGAGCAAGTTCTATTACACGTTTCGCGACACCGGTTGCGGTTCTTACACGCGCGATTACAAGTATGATTTTTTGATCTGATCTTTTATACGTCATGCGATTGGTCAACTAGATCTCGTTTCATGTTCTCTTGCGTAAGAGTCGGCGGGATATCTCCCTCGCGTAGAAAGCAGCGATCGAGGAGCTCGCTCGATCAATCGCTCAGCAAATTTAACGATGACTCGCTCGAACATGCGAGCAGCGAGATCTTAATGATTCCGAGTTGAACCGAATAAAAATCGATTTGCAAAGCTATTCGGCGAGCATCCACCTTCGGGATTATTGACATGCCTTCGCGACTGTTTCGCGGATGCTCGCGGAATACGAGCATGGATTTGTGGTGGTCACCAGTGCACTGACCTCCGATCCATCGCCGACGACCGGCTACACCGACTACTTACCGAGTGAAAGTATCAGAGCTTGGTTGTAGTATCGCGCGAGCGTGTACGTGCCGCGTGTACACGCGCGAGTCACACACGTCCGCGCGGCATACGAAATCGCAAACCGATCGAATATCTCGGGGCTGCCTGATTTCTTTTCGGGTCAAGTGTCTTTGACAGTGGGTTCGAAAAGCATCGACAAAGCACCTGTTGACAAACGTCGCGGAAACCTCGCTGCCTCTGTGCGTATTGCAAACAGAGAGATATGCAAATTTGTTCTTCTTTGATAAATAAGTGAAAGGAGTATACAGACAAGTGAAAAAAAAAAAAAAAAGAATAAAGAAAGTAAATTTTATGAATGAGAAAGCAAAACTCTCTTACATAAAGGCTGACATTTGTTTTTTAATAGAAGTTTTGCAATATTTTCCGACTCACGTAACGAAAATTTAACACTCTAGATGTGCTCAACAGTTACGTTACCATTTCGTAATAGAACGTTTTCGCGCAATGCGCGTTGACGTGTGCGCTTTCTTTATTTTCATTCGAAGAGCTAATTTCTACAATTTCTAATGTGATTTCCCATTCCATGAGTGTGTGCTTGTACGCGCACATTATTTTCCAATATGTGACAGCACTTTCTACACGGGGAATAAATTATGTGGGCTAACAAAAGTCAGGCACGCGTCTGCAAGCAAGATCCGAGGCGCAAAAGTAGACGGTGTTTTCTAATGGAAATCGAGACATGTTGCGCATACTCTTGCTCATACATCGGCACGCAAAGGAGCTTTCTAGCTCCCGCTACTGGTTTAATAAAGCCTAGCCGATCGTTCCGGATCGATCAGATTTTCCGGTTAGGTCACCGTGAACGACAAAAGGTCGGCGAACGCAAAACCCGTCTTTCTCTTCTGCTGCTCATTTTCCCGCGATTTTCCAGCCGATATTTTCAAACCCGCGCGCAGATGTATGCCCTGTGATATTTTACTGATTCACGTGCTCCACGTGACATTAATGCGCGATTAATTTGTCGTCGACATTTCATGGCGACGTACGTAATCCCGCGTAAAGATATGTTCGTCGATTCGAAAGTGTGTCAGCGCGGGTTTGTAAATTGCACAAGTCCCAATTTCTGACGCTGCAATATTAATCGAGCAATCCGTATTTGTTTTGCGTTAACAGCTCGCCGTAATCGCGCTTGATGCGACCGCTACGCGTTGACCTGTTTCGCGAATTCTCGCGCGCGGATAGTAAAAATAAATTCGATAGCTTGCAAATGTTTCGAAGCGAATAAATGTATATGTGTTTTAACCCGTTTTTAGCAATTAAATTCAACAATTCTTGGCAATTTACCGCGTGATTGTCGGGCATAAAGCAGAGATTACATTGTGACTGAATTATTAAGATAATCGCTTGCGCGATTCCTATCGCGATTACTCCACGCCGTATAATCATTGGAATTTACGCTTTAAACTTTCTTTTTGCCGTGAAAATTACCGAGCGCACGCGCAATGTGCGTATTTCCTGACATTCACGGAACCATAAATATTATCTCGCTAAGCTTATCACGTAAGTTTTCCCGCGAGTTATTTCCACGTGTAAGAATAGCAAACACGCGTGGGGAGATCAATATTATAACGTCGTTGCGCAATCATTATCGTAATCGTAATTATTACGCTTGTACGTCTCCTCTCCTCCTAAAAAAAAATTATATTAACGCAAGTAAAATTGTTATCGCAGACTCTACCAGCTGCGATGAATTGAGAAGCTTGCAACATCAATTAGCGGTTCTGTACATTCCATCAGTGACGGGCGGAAGTTGCGAATCTGCAGCGTGCAATCAATTATTAATGAGCCGCGACCTCGTTGGGTGGTTTGTATCCGCATGATACAACGAATGAAAATGAAGTAAACAAGTATAGTTATTTCGATTTTTGTCATTTAGGTATATTGAACTGAAAAGGGTTTGAATTAAAGTTGAACAAATGTTTTTGAAAAATTACAATTGAGTGTATTTGTCGTATAACATCCCGTAATTGGTTCGAATAACATTCAAACTTTTACACACTATTTGAGCAAAATAATAGTGTCACAGTGTATACTAAATGTTTATAAAAATTTCGCGTGCGTAAAAAGGTCAGTTGTAGTTGACTGCACGCACATTTCTCGGGAGAATAATTTTTCCCTCTTGAAACTTGTCATCGTCTCATTCTGCTTTCTCCAAAGAGTTAACTGCACGACAATCTCTCGTTACATACACGATGGTTTATTGTGATGTAAAAGTAGCACGTGTAACGATAAAATTGTACCAAAGTGCATTCACGGTTGTTGACTGAACACACATTATGTTTGTCAGTGCGGTGTTACGTCGAGATTTATGCGAATTGTTGGTATTTTAGGTAAATGCTACGTGCGTACTAGCGTGTTTTAAATAAAGCGGTGGTTTTTCTTTTTTTAAGCACCTTCGTGCGTGATCTTTCTCGAGCGTAACGAGCACACATATTCAAAGGAAAGTTCATTATTGTTGTTTAAGCAGATATTGTTACAAAGTGTGCAATTTCCTCTTAATCAGCTCATTAAGAGCATTAGTACTCTCTTCGTAATAATAATTTTTATTAGTCATTTATATCATTGACGATAAGCGATATTGCTCATATACTACACACATACATGAGCGCGCGCGGACGCGACACTGTGTTTACATGATAATACGAGAGTATCACTTTTGCAAGTTACAACATGATAATTTTGAGATAATAATATCTTATGATAAAAGAAACATATCTTTTCTTTCGTCAGAATAAACATTACCTACATTATACTTGTTTGAAAATAATATGTAACTGAAGCTAAGTAAGATGAGAGGGCGTGGATACAAGAAAATTTTAACGCAACCCTTCAACGTAACATTCAATGTAATCGCTAGGTAATCATCTTTCGATCGTCGTTTGCTGTTTCGATTCCCTTTTGTTTGGCGCGGGGCGAGGTCGTTCTTCTTTTCGACGCCAACACTTTGCAGTTTCGAGAGCAACGCCCAAGCGAGGACTTGCACTCACGAGGAGGCAAGAAAACCAAAGAAGAGAAGAGAGAGACGAGATACGCAAGACGATGGGCATAACGAGGGAAAAGAGACGGCAGGGAAGTGAAAGGTACGGTCATCAGAGGAAGATTAAGAAGAGGAGCAAGGACCTCCGGCAGAACCGGTCACGTCGTGTTCGTCCGTTCGCGTAAACTCATCTTCCATCTCGGAAAATCGCGCGCTATCGAATCGTCGCGCGAGATGAGTCGCGGCAAATGAACACTAACGCGGTTCAAATCCGAAAAACATCTTTGAATGTTAATCCATTCATTTATCTTTTTTTTAAGCAATATTAACTTTCTCATCGGCCTTTTATTGTGGTTAAAAGTTTAATGGTAATTAAACAAAGTCGAACTTCCATTTCTTTTTGCAAAGTTGAAGACAAGATTTGGAACAGCATTTTGTAGCGCAGACGACGCCAGTCTGTCGGCTCGTTTTGCGCTTGCAATCTCTTGTACTACACCCGCGGCAATGGTAATCGGGGTTCATCGATCGAACGCACTGAGGTCGATCTTCGTGCGCGAGTTCACCTTGAACGGCCACCTGGTGGACGCCCACGCCGCCCACGGCACTTCGCCGCTCGTCTCAACTTGGCTCGAAAACCATCTTCATTGTAAGAGCACGGCGTTTCTCGGGTCTTACATGATTTAACTTGAAGTAAACTCGAAGGCAACAAATCAAGAAAATTTGAATTAAAATAATTTATTTATTAACACTCGCTACATATTTTTTCAATATAATAAAATAAAATCTAAGTCACTTTTAAACATGCTAGTGCACTGTCAAATTTATTGTGTCAATCACTTCTGTCCCGGAATTGTCATAAATATCATGCCAAGTGAAGATGACTTAAAGTCAAAACATTTTGTCAAACGTGAATTTAGTAATTATAGCACAATATTCTGCCATTAGTTTGCTCTTGTCGTATAATTAAACATTTAAATTGGCTTAATTATTTGCTTTATCAGAGCCTAATAACAGTGTTGTTTTTTCGCAAATGTCATTTTTCTAATTTAAATGAAGACGTTCTTGTTAAAAATTAGGCAGACTTACTTGGCGTAAGCTTTCTCCAACAGCGCCGGCCAAAACTGATCGCTATGGCGACTCTGTACGAAGGCCAGTCTTCCATGAACCGCTGGTAATCTGTCGTCAACGAGTACTTCCACCCACGCGCCACACCACCACAATCGAAACCTGAACACCCCGGCGTATTCAGCGGTTGGCGAGCCCGAGGGTTCGCCACCACTGCCAAAACCTTGATCAGCCGGTACCACTCTGTAGAATAGACCTTTACTGAGGTGCAGGACGCCCAGACACGACACCAGCCACTTATCACCTGTTAACAAAATAGTAATTGCCAAATGCTTGTAAAATTTAAATATTTCTTAAGCATTATAATGTTTTATATATAACAAAACGTAAATGCACGTAATTATCTGTGTACTAAATGTTACATATATAAAAGACTTAAAATATAAAGACTGTTTAATTACTTTTTGAAACAACAATCTGCGGAAGTCGAAAGCAATGTTTTTTCGACTCGCACGCGTCGTTGCGGCAGTGATTTCTTTTTCAAATAAAAATGTAGACGTTTGCGCGAGGGTAAGTCGCCGAATTTCACGTTGTCGCGATGTAGGTCGGCACAAATTATTACATGTCGTCATCGCGCTCGGCTGTGCGTGCTGCTGCGTACACGTTAACGGGACACGTCGCGCGCACCACAGCGAACGCAGTTATATCTTCAGGAATGCGCCCGCATGGCTTACTCGAGGGCGCTCGACTTCCGGCGGCGCGGTGCAACACTCGTGAATTATATCCAAGCTACGGAAGGGATTACGTCCCAGAACGTTCCACGGTGCATTAGCTCGCGTCCGAGAGAGATACGTAAAGTCGTATTCCATTTTAATTTCCTGAGTTGCTCGCAGTTACGAATATCCGAAAACCAAAACCCAAAAGCTACGGAAAAGCGAGATTATTACTACAACGCAATATAATAACAAGAAACGCTCTTGCGGCGCGTAATCTCGTCGTGTGATGAAATTTATAAAATGCAATGGGAGCAGAACATCTTTTTTAACAAATAACAAAATATGTAATACAAAAATCAATAACTATATTTATGTAGTATATTTGCAACCAAATGTGTAGACAAAAACTATCTTTAGTCTATTTATATTTCTGACAAGAAACTTCAGTATATATATTTCATTCTGCACACAGAAATCTTGCAGTTAACTAAAGCTAAATCACTATGTGCTCGTCATTTGTGTCGATCTTATCTCGATGTTTATAACGCGAAAAAATAATTCCAAACATTCGATTCGCCACGTAACATTTAACAAGTGTTACTATTTTCATAATTAGCAGCTAGTTAAATTCTGTAGTAAATTGCGCGTACCCGGCACGGAAACGTGCAACTTTCTAATTTAATTAATACATATAAACTCTCTCGCGTACATATTTATCTAACGTTTGCAAGACATATTCGCGAGCTTAATACGATTAATGTATATTTCTCGAATACCTCGTGCAATTATCTAGATAATATAATTCACAATTTGTTTATAAACAATTGCAAGTTGATGTTAATGAAAACTATGACTAACAAGCGATTACGTGAACGTGTAGTATTTGATTACCGATTCGCGATGAACTCCCGTAACCTTTCGTCGCATAAAACAAGTTAAGTAGAAGCCAAGGTTTTTCAAACACGCACGAAGAGTACAACGTATCATTACGTCCATCGAGGAAATTCTGTACTGCCGCGGTAAGTAGGGAAGGCAAAAGCGGAACGACCTGTTCTATCGTTTCGTATGCCTTTCGTGCGCCTTTCTTGCGCACGGTGACGCTTTTAAAATACATCTGCACACCTCGTTCCTCGTTCGCATCTTCCGGTTGTAACGTGTAAAATTATTTGCCGCTAATGACTTTAAAAAACTCACCCATCTTCCCAGGAATGACATCGAACTGAGCTGGTGCGTCGCTGACGAAGATAGGACGATTGCATAATTCCTGAAATAAAAGTCATTGTGTTTGTTTTACCTGAGGCTGACAGAAACAATCAATGTAACAACAAAAATAAAAGTATTCATTTAAAAACAAAGTTTTTGCACTAAAACTATCAAGCCCGTTAAAAAAAAAAAAACAATTTCAGATTTCTTAAGTAAACAAAAGTACATTTATTGTTTTTGTTTTTCAAATATTTTGTCAAATTGACGGATGTGATAAAACTAGATATTACATTCAACATCGTTAGTTCTAATGTTAAGGTGACGTTTAAGATAAAATATAATTTCGAGCCATGACCTCGCGGTTTCGTTAATTAGAATGCAATCTTTTCATTCGATATTTCTCATATATGCGTAGTTATGTCTCGTAATCACTTAGTGCTTTGTATGTCGAATAGGGAAATATTAAATATTAACGACACGAGAAGAGTTCATCGTATCGCAATAATCGAGGCCGTATTAAATAACTGTTCTCCAACCGTTGCATCCCGCATTGGCGCAATACCCTTTTAGCATATTTCCGGTGTAGCGTGATTGTGACGGGAATTGCGAGCGGATTGATCTTCGACGACGCCGTTAAAGGCGCGACAAACGTCACGCACGCAATTGTTGACCTTGTAGTAGAAATGCGTGACTTCTATATTGCGAGAGATCAATACACGGATGCGATGTTTCGTTCGGTAAGAACAGCAAAGATCTTTAGTTACGCGTCGCCGATTTCACCTGACGTTTGCTCGTTTCTCGTCTCATCGTGCAGGTTGCACAACCAACGTCGATTAGGATCGTTGAGCTCTGATTCTGCGATTCCAGAATCGCAACTACTCTCATTAAGCTCTAAGAGATCTCATCCTATTGCGGAAATGTAAGATTCTAGAAATTTTAGTTTTGATATTACGAATATTTATATAAACAGCTCTCTTTAATATCAAACCAATCAGAAAATAAGAACGTTAAGAGCTAAACGCTGAATGAATATGCAAGGAAATATATATGCTAAATATATGTATATTTTTTAAACGTGAATTAATTTAATACGAGAAAATTCAAAATCAAAATAATTATAAGAACAGTAACATCTTTGACGGGATGGGAGATTCCGTTAAGTCTTGTTTTGACCAGGAGACACGATCATAAGCACGCAGGCGACAGAAGAGCTGCGTGTCAAGGTTGCGAACTGTTTTCGTTACGGTTCCTAAGCTCCACCTTGCACATCTCCGTTCTTTAGGAACTGGAGCGAGCCGACGAAGCTAGATTAGTTCCATAATGTTCCCGAAAGAAACACATTGTTGTTTATCAGTCACCAAAAGAATAAGTAATAATGTTTTATTTCGGTTGCGAGAAAAATAAATATGTGTCACACATATGCACGTTACATACTTCAATACAAGAACCAAAACGATATCTTTGAGAAATAAAAAATTTATACCAATATTAATTTCGTGATTTGAGGGTATATTATAGCAAAGTCTTTTAAGTCTTGTCACAACATAAAGCTATTGAAAGATAAGTTTGTTTGTCAAAGATAAAAGAACAATCTTACTTCTACCTTACCTTCGGTCTTTTCCATTGAAATTGAAAAGGTGGCGTCTGATGATAAAAGACTGACGCCTGTGTCGCTGGGAATTCCGGATCTTCCCAAAGCTCGCCTCGTTTCAAGCACGAACGCTTGATTCGTTCGTACTCGCTCATTACGTCCTAAAACAATAGAAAATTCTGTGATAAAACTAAAATTAAATTAAAATTCAAATAACATAAAACGTAGATTTTTTTATTAAAAAGTTGAAATAGTACTAATTGTCGTAATTATAAATGTTAAGTGACTATTTATCATAATATTAATAGTTTTATATAATGTAAATGACTTAAATTTTAACTTGTAACCATTTATCGTAATATTAATAATGTGACTATTTATTGAGATTAATAATTTTTATGTAGACATAATGTGTGTGTGAGCAAGACTTAAAGTTTAATTTATGTGACGTCAAAATAAAAATTTTAACGTAACCTGCAATTAATCTTATTAAATAATCTTAATTGAAACAAAACGCGTGCGATAGGTGCTTCTTAATTACAACTGCTTTAGTTTGAGAATGCAATGAAAATAGCTTCAGTTATTTAAGTGCATACGAAAACAAAGAGACTTGATGGTATTCTCTTAACAAAGAACTTCCTAGATAAGACGAATTAAAAGATTACGTTACCTAATTAATATTAATGGCTCATTGCTAATAAGAGGGTGAGAATTTAACAGTACCTCTACCCACATATCACCTACTCATTCTTCTCTCCATCTCCTCTCGTAATTAAGGCACAGTCTTAAGAGCATAAGAGACGTTCAAAAACTTCCCTGAAATATACCGCAGAGTGGTTCTTGCGACTATTAATAATGCGCATTTAGCAAATGTCGACGTTTAAATTGCACGAGTGTGCGCAAAGCAACTTCCCGAGCATTCTCACGTAAAATAATGTTCATAAACAATACGGCTGAAAAGTTTGCTGGAAAACACGGAAATAAATCCAGACGGTCTCTCAGCAAAATTTGCCATTGCACGAAATTTGCTTTTAGAATTTGGAGAACAAATATTAGAGAAACACACATTTGCGTGCGTGTAAGCCTAATTTTAATTCTTCTAATTTAAAAGCTAAACCCGTTAGATATGCTTCTGCCGCAATATGAGTGGTTGCTGATTTCAAAATTTTGAATAACATTCAGAGTTCTTCTGCGTAGTCTTTCTCACGCGCCATGAACGTACCTCGTTGACCTCCATAGATCTCTCGATAGCGAGGGCTCGCAAAATTCTGCCTTTCCAACGCATCATTGCTCTCCAAAAAAACTCTCATAATAACACCTTGTCAGTCGCGCAAACAGGTATAACAAATCACTTTCGCGAGCAAACTATTCGCGCATTCGCTAATCAACGGTGAGCTTGTGGCCTCGATGCTGCGCGTCGATAGAGCGTTTCGAGCTCATCAAACACATTGTGTTAATTGCGATTCAACACTCTCTCTCCTAGCCCGAGTTTTCGCCGCCAATCTTTTATAACTCCTTTTATTCTATTTATGTATTTGTCAAGAAAGAAAAGTCAATGACATTTCTTTCTTTATCATAGTCAAGTTTTTACGCGCGTCTGTGAATATAAATTACAACAATTGGACTCGCCTACCGCCCGTTTACGTCTAATTTTGAGCGCGGTTTTTCTGTGGTTCGGCAATTCGTATCGAGATGGTTTGCACCGAGCTTGGCAAATGTCGATGGTGCTCGCTCGCCTAATGAACTTTAATAACATGGCGCTACCACCGACGCAAAATTAAGAAACAATCTTCCGCGATTACGGCGCGCTCCGAATATTCCGCGCGAAACGCTCGCCTACAAAACACGCGCGCACGCTATATATCTCACTAGTTCATTAATATTAATGCTCTGGTGATTATTAACACGTTCGATATTTATTCTACTAGTAGATGCCCGTGCTCTTGCGCAGGTAAATCAACATGAGAACGAGGAAGTAAAAAGAAAACACGGATGTAAAATATTCTTGTTCCCTTACTTTTACGTCGTAAAAAATTGTATTTCAAGATATTAATATGCAAATAATATTATATAATATGCGAGTGATATGCTAAATCAGCTTTCTCACCAGTTTTTTTGTCTACGCGTTCAATAATTTCTTAAACTTTAATTCATCTAGACATATAAGCGTATTAATCTTAAATTTAAATTGAACATTATCACAAACTTTAATATTTATTGTTAATGAATAAACATTATAAAGTAGTTTTTTATTCTAGATATTAACCACTTTCGAGTGAACACAATGACTCGCTCAATAAGAAATATACCGTTCGCGGGAAAATGTCGCTATCGCGGTGATGGGTCATTGAACGTATTTCTGCGACGCAGATGTCCTCCACGCCTCAGTGAGCCGTCATTTTGCAACTGGCTGTTGATAACATATTTTCACCGCGTAGGCGATAAATGCGAAAGAAGGTGCGCGTGGTCGTGAAAGCGTCACGATTGCGAAATACTCAATTACATTGGCCGGGGCGCCGCGGCGTTCCGGTTTCGCGCATTGTTCCGAGGCCGGCTAATTTCGTCAAACGGCGTGGTGCACCAATTAAGATTCGCAATGAAACGACACCGGATAATTAGCGCAATGCAGAAGTCGTCTTTGTCGAGTTTGTGCGCCTACGGGCGTGCGCCGTCGCCGCTTCTGTGTTTTCTTTCTCATTGTCTCTTCTCACTGTCGCAAACAGTCCTATTTTGTAGCGCGGAGCCACCTTGAAATTCCAGGTTGAGGCGTGTCTTTTTGCGTTGTCGTCGTCGCGCTTGACAAAGAGCTACGCGTCTAGCGCCGTTTTGTAATAGATCGATTATGAGACAGTTTGTTCTTGTTACACCTGCACCTCGACGAATACATTTTTTTATCGTTTTCACGATTTAATAGAAAAACTAACGTGTTTTTCTAGAAATAAAATAGTAAGAAGAATTATTTCTACAATCTTCGTGCATATTTCACGTTTGAAGCGGTCTATTTTGTGCGCCGCTGCTTTGTAAATCTCGAAGATGGGCCTCAAGCCGACGAGCTTGGAGCCATTTCATCTGTCCAAGAGCAGCACGAGAGGTACGGTTATAATGACTGAAATTGCGGAAGGCCGAGAAGTAGTATCGTGGACCAAGACGGGTGAGGCAAGCAGTAAAAGCTTTCCCGGCAACCACCGCGTAGTGGTCCGCGCGCGCCTCAAGGCCGCGGGAGAACCAAGCATGAAACTAGTTCGACCGGTACGGGAATATGGTAGCTATTATATACCTAACGTGTATAGTAGATCGCTGAAGTGTTCGCTTTAGCGGAAGGCGGTTGCTTGAGAATTCACCGTGTAGAATGTATGAATGTCTTTCCTTAAAATCTTTGAGAAATAAAACCAGACGTCGACGGTGATCTTTCATCATCTATCTTCTTTCGTTTTTTCACAATTTTTTTACTTAGTGTTTTCAGCTTTTTAACATATCCCAAACTTATTTGAAAATGTTTCTTAATCAATTAGTGAGGATAGTCAAATAATTTTTGTTATTATTTATCCTCGACGGTTTGCCTTGTCGACAAAGAAGATACTAGATCGAAGGTAGTCGTAATTTATCATTTTTATATGAATTTGTTTATAAGAGATAAATTTGCTTTCTTCTATTTTTATTCATTATTATAAATATTAATATCCACAATTTAAAATATCTTTTTCTAAACGTCAACTGACGTGGACTGATACACATAACTTGCAAATAAGAACAATGTGACGTAAACACGCATCAGATATTCCCGTGCGAGCAATTGTTGATGACTAATCGTGTACTTTCTACTGGTCAGGGAATTTTTACGCTTAGCTTGCACATATGGCCTTGAGACTCAAGCGCATCCAAGCGCAGTGCTCGCAGGGCGAAAAACCTATGTTGTTACATCGTGACTCGGCGTATGATCGTGCGGAAATGCGAGAGCTTTTGCGTTCTTCCTGTCGCGATTCTTGACACGTCACTCCGCATAAGAAACATCAGTGATGTACAAGTCACTTGGGCGAAAAGAATTTTACGTTGGTCACGTGTAGCAACGCGTGTTATTACATTCATTTTATTTCACAAAACGAACAAGGCCGCCATTTGATCAGCGCACGTCGCCATCGAACGATCAGGCCAGTCGAGCGTGCAAAAGCGAAGTTATTACGGAACACAATTTATAAGATATTCAAGTTCAAAGAACCAGATTATCCGGCAACGCAAGAACTTTCTAAAAAATAATTACATACAATAAATGAGACTATAAAGAGAGAGAGTGTCTCCTCAAATATTTGTTCTGAGGGAAACTAGAAATTTCGAAAATAATATGTTTGGGAGAGAAACATTTAGAGATCGATCCAAGTGCGTGTGCGTGCGAGTGTGTGAAATTCATTTTACGAAAAATCTCGCATTATGTCTTTGAGTATAAAAGTGATTTTATCTTTAGACAGAAGATTTTATTAGTTCTGCGCGTTTTTCTCGATTTCACAAATGCTGTACTGACTGAATCGAGATGCGCGTTCTCGCGTGTAACGGTGCTTGACAGTGAGCGCTCTTTATAACCTCGTGAACTGTGACCCTAATTTTCTCCACTTTATTATAACTCGCTCCATTTTTCTTCTTCACAATTATGCTAGCTTACTAATAGATTCCGTTAGTAGCTCGTCACAAAGCAACTTTTACTGTTAAGTAGTGTGGGTGTTGTTAATTATGTAACAATTACTTATATAACAGTGTGTTCAGATACTTTTAAAACCTGTTTTTTTTAACATTTAAAAAATAAGAACACTCAAATAAATACATCTTTGAGAATTAAATCATTCATAAATTTTACTTCTCTGAGTACGATTAAAATTTTTTTACGTTATTCTGTTTTACGTTGTTTTTTATTTTCAGACACTTAACTGTAACAAAAATAAAATTCAACGTAAAATAAAAATCGAATATTACGATTACTTGGACATCTCCTTCTCCCGAATAAATAACTTTCGCTGAACTTTTATTGGGTAGTATTTCAAGGTGTGTTTACGACCGCGAATAAACCTGAGTCTGAGCAATCGTGCTCGCTGGTTCCGCGCCACCAACACAAAACAAAACAGCAGAAAAGGGAAAATGACCGTAATTTCGATTACGCATAATTTGGTTGGAT